GTTTGGTGGGCCCGGGCTGGGGATTCGAACCCGCCACCTTAGGTGTATGTGGCTGGCGCCTTAGCCGCTTGAGCCACAGGCGCCGAGCCATCATGGGTTTTCTATAAGACACTCATGGTATCTGTAGTTAATGGTGAAATTCAGTACTTCAAATTGTCATCCTCTTATTTGGCCATGTTTCTCTAAACACCTCCCGTATAATGTCAAATATTAGTAACCATATATGTTATTCTAGTTTTCTTCCTGGTTTTAGTGAGAACATTCAATATGATGTTCTTAGACAGTTTTGTTTATGGAAGTTAATATCTGTTTCGTACTTGGTAAGACTTGTAAGAAAAAATATGAATGACTGGGCAATGCCTGTGGCTCAAAGGAGTAAGGTGCTGGCCCCATATACCAGAGGTGATGGGTTCAAACCTGGCCCCGGCCTAAAACTTAAAAAAAAAAAAATACGAATGAGTTGACATTATCCAAAGCTTTTTCTTCAACTCTTGACACATCATATGGTTTTTATCCATTAATGTCTGCATCACCCAGTATTTTCACTAGCACCAGATACTATTGTCAAAGGATTCATTGTAGAGTGATTAATAAAGACACTATTTTCTGAAGAATAGGCCAAGTGAAAAGAACTAATAAAGGATGCTATAAACCCAGGATCTAGCAAATATTAGAAGCCATCACCACCAGCTAGTTATAAAGGTATAAAGGGGGTGAATAATGTTACTAGAAGAGGCAAAATCTGTAGTTGTGAGAGATGAGCTTACGGCAAGACGTTTAACTATAGAGATGTGGCAATGAGCTCCTTATGGTGCTCACAAATTACTCCCTCCACTTCCTAGTGGCTGAACGCAAGTGGAAAACAAATGGCAAGGTGGACTGGGTGATGTCCATTGAAGTCAGTTCTCAGGTCATGGAACAAGATCAAATAAGGAATGGAACTCAGTTGGGCAAATGAAATATATGTGAGCTCTATGCTTTACTGTGGTGAATCATGATGAAGTTTTCAAAGTTAATTGATCCATGCATTAATGCAGTGCTTTTCAACCCTTTTTTATGTCACAGCACACTTGAACTGATCATTAAACTACCACAGCATGCTTAAATTATGTTGATCAAAAAAAAATGAGTAAAAAAATAAGAATAAATTTACTGTGCTTTGTACTTCTTTTGAAAGTAATTTAGTAAATGATCTTTAAAAATTTGTATGGCACACCTAAGGTCCTCTCCCTGCATTAGTGGGATAAACTGTACCTGCTTTATATACGGATGGGTTTGATTTAGTAATGTTTTACTCGGAATTTTAGTATCAAATGTTTATAAATCACCTTGGCCTGTAATATTTATGTCATGTTTTGAGTTTGGTTATCCTAGCCCCATAAAAAGCTGGAATTATTCAATCAGTATTTAAAAAGCCAAGTTTTGATTTTAAAATGATCTTGGCAGTTGCCTGTATTCTTTCTATCTCAGCCCATGAACAGTCCAACAGGGTTTTTTTTTTAAATTAATTATTATTTTTTTTGAGACAGAGTCTCAAGCTGTCACTCTGGGTAGAGTGCTGTGGCATCAAAGCTCACAGCAACCTCCAAATCCTGGGCTCAAGCAAGACTCCTGCCTTCGCCTCCCAAGTAGCTGGGACCACAGGCGCC